GTAGAAACTCATCTTTTCAAGGAGCACAATTAAGTGGACCCGAACTGCCACCCTTGTGGTTAGTAATCTAGTGCTTATCCTACAAAACCACTGCATTCCCAGTTGTTCCTCTTAGGACCACACCAAATAACTTTAGGCGATTAACTCTTTTACCCTCAAATTTGATTTCCTTTAGAGTATTTATTTGTTCAGTGCAACTGTGAAGTGATCTCTGCTCATTTACTGAAGGAAGCAGTATTACCTGATACCTTAGATCTCTTTCCTTAACCTATCCTTGGTGATAGGTTCTAAACTAGACCTGGTGTGGCACTGTAGGATAAGCACTGGACTGCTAACTGTCTTTGGATTTCAGTTGTATCTCAGATACTAGTATCTTGTTTTGAGGTGCCACCCTCTTCATGTTACTTATTTTATATACCAATGATTTCTGATTTTACGATGGTTTAGTCTAACACTAATTCCGAGGAGTGTTCTTAATTTATATCCTTCATAGTAAATTAAGATGAAAAATTATGAGTCATGGTATTCTATTTTAAAGTGCAGTGAAGGAGGTGTTTGATAACTAGTTAGTTCTTTAGTCAATTTCAGTCATTTGCCTGTTTATTATTATTTTGCTTATTGGTCCCAGTTGAGGGGATTTTTGTTTTCTTTACATTGAATTGTAATCCAGACTGAAGACTGTTTTCTTTGATCTTCATCAGCAATTGCTTCAAGCCCTCTTTGCAGTCAGCAAGCAAGGTTGTATCATCTGCATATTGCAGGTTGTTAATGAGTCTTCCTCCAATCCTGATACCGTGTTCTTCATATAGTTCAGCTTCTCAGAATGATTGTTCAAAATACAGACTGAATAAATATGGTGAAAGAATACAACCCTGGCATATACCTTTTCTGATTTAAAACCATTCAGTATTCCCGTTTTGTTTGAACAATTGCCTCTTGGGGTATGTACAGATTCCACATGAGCACAATTACAAATCCCTGATGCAAGGCAAGATCCGCCTGACCTCAACAATGATATCCATAGTTCCACATCCTCTTCTGAATCTGGCATGAATTTCTGGCAGTTTTCTGTCGATGGACTGCTGTATCCATTTTTGAATTATCTTCAAAATTTTACTTAGATGTGATGATAATGTTCGATGATTTCCACATTCTGTTGGGTCACCTTTTTTTTGGTATGAAATCTCTCTTCACAGGTATGAATCTCTTCAAGTTCATTGGTAGTAGGTAGTTGTCTTCCAAATTTCTTGGCATAGACAAGTGAGTGCTTCTAGTGCAGCACCAGTTAAAACATTTCAATTGGTATTTGTTAATTCTTGGAGCCTTGTTTTTTGCTAGTCTTCAGTGCAGCTTGGACTTCTTCCCTCAATACCTTAAGTTCTTAATCATATGTTACCTCCAGCAATGTTTCAGTGGAGACCAATTAATTATTTTTGGTACAGTGACTCTGTTTTTTTTTTTTTATCTACTTTTGATGCTTCCTGCATCGTTCAGTATGTTTTCCATAGAATCTTTCAGTATTACAAGTCCAGGCTTGAATTTTTTTTTTTTTACTTCTTTCAGTTTGCGTAACATAGAGTGTGTTCCTTTTGGTTTTGTAATTCCAAGTCTTTTCACATTTCATTATAATCCTTTATCTTTATTGAGCTGTCCTTTGACATTTTTTGTTGAACTCTTTTACTTCATTTTTTTCCCCCATTAGCTTTAATTACTCTACTTTCAAGAGCAACTTTCAGATCTTTGCTGATAATCCACTTTCATCTTTTCTTTATTTCTCTTTTTCTTTTCTTTGTAATGACGCTTTGCTTTTTACATGTATGTGTGTTTTTTTCATGTCATTCACGAGTCTTCTGGTCTTTGGTCATTAGCGTTCAGTGTGTCAAATTTGTTCTTGAGATGGTCTCTAAATTCAAATGGAACATACTTGTCAGGTGCCATCGAGTCAGAACCGACTCAGCGACCCCATGCACAGCAGAACGAAACAATGTCTGATCCTGGGCCAACCCCACTACCGCTGCCACACTTGACGCTATCAATGATGCCACCTGGCTGATCCATCTCATTGGGGGTTTTCCTCTTTTTCTCTGACCCTCCATCTTACCCGGCATGACATCCTTCTCCAGTGACTGTTCTCTCCTGACATATTTAAAGTCATATTTTAGCTCTTTTGGCCTTGTGGCATTCATTCTCTCTGTACAGCGAGATTAAAATGCTTCCAGAATACATATGCTCAGTGTACCTTTCTTGCAGTCTTTTCTGTTATTTGTTGATGTAGACTTGTTTGGCCTTAGTTTCTCCTACCTTTAGCTCACTTCTAAACTAGACCTGGTGTGGCACTGTAGGATAAGCACTGGACTGCTAACCGCAAGGTCAGAGGGTTAAACTCACCAGCCGCTCCTTGAAATCCCTATAAAAGGTTATTGTGAGCCAGAACCACCTCTATGGTATTTAACACTAACAACAAACTTGTCTTGTGTTTTCTGGTTTTTAGTCCTATGTTTATGCCATTCTCCCCTTGCGAATGCCTTCGCATATTCTCTTCTATTCATCATCATGACCAAAGTTTATCTTAAATTCCCCCAGCTATGATTTATTAATACATGCTTTTTTTCTGACATACTGAATGGTCTCTTTTCATTTCTGAGTTCATTCATTTAATTACTTTCATTGAGTTTTTAAAAAATTTGTGGTAAAATACATATAGCAAAGTATTTCAACCATTTTTGTGTGTGCACTTCCCACTTATTACTGTCGATTTGATTTTGACTCATAGTGACCCTGTGGGCCCACAGTGACCCTGTGGGTGGCACCACCCCCATAGGGTTTTCAAGATTTTAATCTTTACGGAAGCTGACTGTCACTTCTTTCTCACATGGACCAGCTAGTAGTTTGGAGAAACTGACTGTCGGTAAGCAGCTGAGCACTTAACCACTGTGCCTCCAGCGCTCCTGATGTGTACAGTTCACTGACATGAATTATGTTTGTGTCAAGTTGTACAACAATCTCCACTGTCTGCTTCCAAATTTGTGGTTGTCTTTTGACACTGGACTGTTCTCATGAATCTCCAACTTGTCTTGTTTTAGTGTGGATTGGTCTGTTCTAACTAGATTGTTTGCTCATTTAAGCAGGAATATTCATCTTCTCCTTCTTTGTCTTCTTTACAGTTTATGTATGGCACAAAGTTTTTCAGTTACTGGCTTGTGTTTTGGTTATTTATACGAATTTTCCTGTCATGTTTCGTAATGTAAACTCTGAAGAAGATGCTTTGTTGATCAGATAACTGTTTCTTTTGTCTTAAAAAAAAAAAATATTGGCCATCCATTTTGATTCTGTCTTAATGCTTGTAAATAGTAGCTGTTAGTAAGGCATTAGGGAAATCTGTATACACAAATCTGTATAGACATAGCACAAGATTCTTAAGTAACTATAGCATGCATTGAGGCCACTAAAGCACACATTTTGAAAGGTGTAGCATGAAATAACATTCTACTCGGGAATATTATTTCTGAGATAAAAGAAGTCTTGATGATCTGCTCTTATAAAGATGACAGCCTAGAAAACCCAGTGGGATAGTTCTATGCTGTCCTGTAGGGTCACTGTGTGCTGACATTGGCTCAGTGGTACAGTGGTAATACAGTGAGGAGTTGGTTGCATAGTTCATTGGGTTTTAAAAGCTTACAAGGGACTGTTCAATTTACAACAATGGGTCCCTGTTTTCCTGAAGCAACGGAGGAAGAAGGAGAAACAGGAATAGGAGGAAGGACTATGGAATATGTGGTTGCCTCCATGAACAACTGCCTGCTTTGCCATGAGACCAGAAGAACTGGATTGTGGCCAACTACCATTACTGAGCATTTAGATCAAAGATTCTCTGGAAGAATTCTTATCAAAAGGGGGAAAATGCAGAACAGATTTTCAAATTTTAATAGAATTCAGATTTTCTGTAGCAGTTGAGGCTGGATGAATGTTTGAAACGATTGCCCTGATGTGAACCTGAAACTATAAATATTAAGCTGAAATCTTAAAACCAAGCAATAGCTTAGCTAGTGAAAAAATGTCTACCTTGAGCATTATGTTTCTACCTATATAGGATCAACATGACTACAGCAACTCAAAGGTTAGATAGGCAGCTTAGAAACAACGGGACAGGAGGATGAGCATGGTTACACAACTTGAAGAATGCAATCAATGACTTTTACATGTTTAAACTGTTGGATTGGTGTAGGCTTTGCTGTATATTAATAACAACAAAGTAAATACAATGAAAAACAAACAAAAAGCAGGTGAGGGAAGGGAAGTGTATAGATGGGAGGCCAGCTTTTACCTAAGCAGAGATGCGTTTCTTATAACTGATGCATCTAAACAGCTTTATTCCCAGAGTATAAGTAAAATCCCTAGGAAGATAAATTTATTTCTTGCATATATTGGGTGCCATGTATATTAAAAATGATTTTATTAGCAGTCCTGTAGTGGCATGGATGTGAAACTGTTCCTTTGCTCTGAGTAGGGGAACTATGTAGGAATTGATTTGTTCTTCAGGATCAAGCTCTTCTGTGGCATATCCTAAAAGTCACCAGGATTTATAGCTGTTGTTAGTTTCTGTTGAGTTGATTACTAGTAGTGATGAAAATATGAGAAAAGTTATACAGAGTGTGCCTAGTATTCTTGCTGTCATAGAAAATGTAAAGAAAATGGTGTTCGTTAATGAAGCCCTGTTGACACCGTGGTTGCTCACTGAGTAGTCAGCACTTTGAATTCACCAGCTTCTCCACAGGGGGACAGTGTGGCAGTCTGCTTCTACCAAGGTTATAGCCTTGGAAAGCCAGTGGGCCCAGATCTTCTCTGTTCCGTAGGGGCACCTTAAGTCAGAATTGACTAGACGGCAGTGGGTTTGGGTTGGTATTCTTCATATTTACTTGATTCCTTATTAACCTGCTTATCAAACTCTGCAACTTAAAAAGAGATTGCGTTGGTCTAGAAACAAAATTTTCTTCTTTTAGGTACAAAGAAGATGGTGAAGCTTTATTAATTTTGCTTCCCTCAGAAGAAAAAGTGATGGTACAGCATCTTCTCCAGAAGAAAGTGCCCGTGAAGGAAATCAAGTAAGAACTCTCTGTTATTATTAGGAAAGTGAGGACATGGAATTATGCTCATTACATGCAACCCATACTATCCTCCTCTCCAGCCATTCTTCTGTCCAGTTTGTGACCATTATATTCAGACAGCTTTAATAGAAGAAGAAAATAAGAGATGAAAAGGGAAGCTAGTTAGTTCAGGAAGCATTGATGGTTTGTTTGGCAGGATTAAATTCTTGGACAGAACTATTTTTTAGAATTTTCTGTCCATTTCCTAGGATTCAGGCTGACTCCACGGTACATAACAACAACAATTATTCAGGTATATAGATTGAATAATACCAGCACAAGTCAATCAGAATGTCACTTGTATGGTTGGTTGGTTATGTGCCATGGTGTCTGTTCTGACTCATAGTGACCCTGTACAGGGTTTCCGAGGCTGTAAATCTTTATGGGAGCAGAAAGCTTCATCTTTCTCCTGCAGAACAGCTGGTAGTTTCAAACTGCTGACCTTGCGGTTCGCAGCCCAATTCGTAACCACTACGCTACCAGAGCTCCTTGTATAGAAGGCCTTAAAATACATTTTCTTGATTTGCTTCAGAATAGTGTGAGGGGTGGTGGATGGTGGTGAGGTGCAAAGAGGAGTGAGTGAGGGGGTAGATGAAATAGGAGTGGGTATTAGTTGCTCATTATTGAAGCAGAGTGATTTTTTTCCCCCCACACTTTTGTATATTTTGAAATTTTCTGTAATAAAATTGTAAAAACAACCCCACCCACCACCGCCTCAACATTGCAGAGAACAAGGTATTTTTGATAAAAAAATCAGGGAGATAAGTGAGGTTGTTTTTGTGAAACCTAGTCCCTTGTAGGAGTCCTGAAGTGGACCTATAGGATAAATACTGGACTGCTATCTGCAAGATTGGTGGTTCAAACCCACCATCCATTCCTCGGAAACCCTAAACAAGGCCACTATTAGTCGGAATCAACTCGATGGTACTTAACAGCAGTCCCTTATGAGGATTTCATTCTTTCTTGCAGCCTTTGTGGGCCGAATTAGTAACACTGTTGTTGTTGTTGTTAAGTGTCCTGCTAATTGTGGGCAGAGTTAAATAATACTTCTGTTGTAGTATGTGTAATTTCTAGACAGAGACAGCACTGTTTTTGTCCCTTGACCGTTTGTTAGTTATTTGAAGCTGGTTTTATGATATTTGACTGAGAATGGCAGTATTTACAAAATGACATTGAATTGATTCCATTTCATTTACTAGCCTGTCGGACTCTTTCAGGAGGCTATTTTTCATCTTTATTGACTTAGGAAGTGACTAATGCTAATTGCAGTGTTTACCTCAAATATCTTTCACTCACTCAGCATGGGGTGTTTCTGATCATCCATTACTTTTTTAACTTGTAATTTTCATAATATGCAAGAGAGTCTAATTTATGCCCAGCATAATTTTACTCTAATCTGGGTCATTAGCAAGAAAAATATGCCATACCTTTAAAGATAATACTGAGGAAAATGGGAAAGTCGTATGTATTGTTTTCAATTTCTAAAATTGAGATGTCTTTGTTTAACCTTTATCATCTTTTTTGTTATAAAGAATCAATCCAGAAAAACTTATAGATGTCCAGAAAAAATTGGAATCGTTTTTAGCCCAAGATCAAGATTTAAAAGAAAGAGCTCAAAGGGTAAGTCCTGTTTGAATTGGATGCCGCCACTACAGTGGAGCATATTGTTGTTGTTAAGTGCCATTGAGTCGGTTCCGACCCATAGCAACCCTGTACAGGGTTTCCAAGGCTGTAAATCTTTATGGAGCAGAGAGCCTCATCTTTCTCCCATGGAGTGGCTGGTAGTTTCGAACTCCTGACCATAAGGTTCGCAGCACGATTCATAACCACTACGCTACCAGATTTCCATTTTCTTTGCTGTTTCTAGGCTTCATAGTCATATTTCAGATATTCAAATAGTGTGATGTTCAGATAAACAAGTTTAGCTTAGTATATAAATCTTCTAAAAATACACGGGTGCTTCCAAAAGTTCATGGAAAAATGGGATAATGGGAACTTTTTTCAGGAACTTTTTAAAGATCTCCGTCATATATATTTTTCAGAATCAACGGGAAGAATTTTTTTTGTTATCTTAATCTTATCTGAGGCAGAAAATTCTTTTAAGATGATTTTTGGTTGAGAAGTGGTCTGCCTTCTAGTACAATTAATGAAGTTACCAACTTTTCATCTCTGCAGTAAAGTTGGTATAACTTCTGACTATACTGTTTTGAAAATAAGATGAATTTTTTTAATATTAAGTTAAATTTTTGGAAAGCAAAGAACTCTAAATTATCCTCAGTAATGAGTTTTTTATCTATAAATATAACTTGATGTCTCAAATTTATTTTCTGGACTTAGAAATGCTCTTGATTAGCAAGTACATGAAGAAATGATTTTAAAAATTCACTTTCTAGTTTGTTCAGCAGTAGATTCTTTGGAAAAGGATTATTTTAAATTGTTTTTTGTTGTACTTAACAGCTGTCTAGTTTTTGAATTAATAAAAATTTGAGTTACTATTTATAATCTCTTAATTTTTATCATTCTTTTACTGTCTTATATTGCTATGAGATCTTTTTAGCTCCTGTACCACAGCCGGACTGAGCTAGAGAGAAGTAATTCAAAGGCTGAGTTCTATTTCAGCAGGTAGTGGAAACATTAGGAGGAAAATAAAGGAGATATGGAAAGGGTATCCTATGTAGATTGAGCAGCTGAGCAGGGAAATAGTTTTAACACTATATATTCTCAGCGAAGAAATCTGTTTCATTTACAGGGCAAACCTTGTAGTTTTTGCTCACTTATTTTATATTTTATCAAATTGTTTTTGCTCATTTATTATATATCAGATTATCACTATGCTTGAAATAACAACGTTGATGAAGGTAAAATCTGAGTGGTTTCTATGTGTCAGGTCCTGTCTTTGTCATGACATTGTTAACATGACTGTTTCCTCTGCGTGTGTTGTAAATTTTCTGCTGGAAGCTATGCTATTGGTATTTTAAATACCAGCAGGGTCAGCCACGTTGGACAGGTTTCAGCTAAGCTTCCAGATAAAGACAGACTAGGAAAAAAGAGAAATGAAACTACATCCAGATATTTGTTGTTGTTGTTAGGTGCCATCATGTTGGTACCGACTCATAGCGACCTTATGCACATCAGAACGAAACACTGCCCGATCCTGGGCCAACCTCACT